AATTCTAAACTAAAAAACTTTGACATTCACAGGAACTTTTAAGACGAGACTCTGAACAAAGAAATTTAATGCAAATAAAATAATTCAGAAATATAATTTTTACTTAACAATAACGTATTTTTCACAAAAGCAAATTCTGTATAAAACTTTTGAATAATCCGAGTCAAAGAGACAGTTTATTTTTGAAAAAAATGTATGATTATAGCTAAAATTATACATTCTCTGATACTTGTAGGAAACATATAATTTTCAGCTGAATATATGTTTAGTGCAAAGACAACAAAAGTGAATACTAAAAATACAAAAGGTTAAATGGCATAAAGTAACTCTATCAAAAAATTATTTCCAAGTTGAAACTGACTATTATTCAGACACTACACAACTAAACTAACAAGTTCAAAACAAGGACAGGAAAACTGTTAACAGCCCAAAGTCAGAAGAATGAAAGAATATCAGAAATGTTACACAATGACAATGGAAAACAATCTAGATAGAACAGCACTAGAAACTGCACTTCAAAATTAATAACACATTGTGATAAAATAACAATATTTTCTGGTAACTGTGATGAAACTCTTCATCCTAATATGAGATCATTCAACAAACTCCATTAAAGCAATTAGTATTGCATAGATTAAATATAAATAACATTCAGTTATAAATGTTAACACTTTTTCATTTTTCATAATTTGAACATTTATATTGGGACGTTATTGAAATGAGTTTTTAAAATATCAAGGTATTTACTTTTCACATTTTTATATCATCTGCCATCAGACTGCATGCCAATAAAAATTAAATTTTGCCTGTGGTTAACATCAGCAATTTCATTCTTGCATCTGTTCATTTATAGATTTATTTAAAAGGCTGTACCTAAGTTTATAGTTTTGCAACCTGAATGGCAGTATAAATGGTTACACAAATGGTTATGCAAGGTTCTAAGCTTAGTATGGTGCCAAATTTGATACTGGCATGAAACATTACTTTTATTACAGATATAAGTAGACTTAAGTACTGAAATTATTTTATTAGAGATAGTCCTTTGCCCCAAACAAGAATGTTTTCATGTCTCCCTAATGAATGATAACACTAGTTCATCTAATTTTCCGTGTGCCAAAGGAAAATTAAAATAGACAAAATTAATACAGCAAAGTAATAAATATATATATTTTTAAAAGTCAATCAAGATCACCAAGATTTTAACAAAATTCCAACATCTGTTAAATTGCAGTAAAGGAAAGTTGCAAACACACTTTCATGTTATTGTACTTGAAGTAATTCCTAAAGAATTCAGAAAGCTTCGCAGGATACTTGAAATATGGATTTCAAGCACACCAACAACAGACTGCATTAAAGAACCAAAATGCTATTAAAAAATTGCAGCAGCATGTAGATTTATGTTTTACTGATTTAGCAATGTGGTCCTTTTTCAGACCAATTAATTTTACAATATTCACCAGTAAGTAAAGGAAAAAAGGAATAAATAGGATGATGGGGAAATTTCTTTGGAAGTTTAGAGTCTTTTTGAAAAAAACTGAAAGTATTTTACACTGCTCGACATTGAAAATGCAACACCAAGAAGGAGTGTTCAGAAACTTATGCAAATTTTATTAGAGTAGATGCATGTCAGTGAGTTATGCGAATGAAGTGAAATACGCAGCTCTCCGACAAACGTGAAGTAAGATATAAGGGAAGGAAAGTGCAGAATAGGCAATATTCGTGTTGTTATTTCTGCCAGACGAATTATTGAAGAAATTTTTTTTTTGTCCCGGAGGATACGTGTAATAGGAGAGAATGCCAGGCTGCCATCAACGAAGCCACTTCCAGCAGATAGACGATTTTACGAGGGGTATGGTGATCGGACTGAGAAGGACGGGATGGTCCTTACGTCAAATCGCAGCTGATACCCACATGGATGCGAGCACGGTGCATCGGCTATGGCGAACATGGTTGCAACAAGGAAATGAGGGAACGAGGGGTGCAGGTACAGCCAGAGTGACATCAGTACGTGTGGATCGACACAACCAACGACAAGCTGTGGCGGTCCACAAGTCACTACTTGTACAACGATTCTGCAGCATGTGCAAGATACCCTGGATGTTCCTGTGTCGACCAGAACCATTTCCCCGTCGATTGGTTTAAAGTGGCCTGCACTCACGGCGTCTGTTAAGAAGACTGCCATTGACCCCACAGGATAGATGGCAACGTTCTGAATGGTGCCGGACTGGAGCGATGTAGATGACAGAATGGCAAAACGTCGTGTTCTCAGATGAGTCACACATCTGTTTATCTAGTGACAGTCGCCGCATACATGTGTGGCGTCGACGTGGAGACATTTAATCCGGCAGTACCTGTGGAATGACCCACCGTGCGACAATGTGGCATATTGGTTTGAAGCGCTATTGCCTACGATTCCAGGTCACCTCTAGTTTGTATTCAGGGCACTATGACATCCCAACGATGCTTGGATAATGTACCGCGGCCGGTGGCAATCTCCTACCTTCAGGGGCTACCTAATGCAATTTTTCAGCAGGATAACGTCCGACCACACAGTGCTCGTATCTGCCAACATGCTCTGCAAGGTATACAGATGCTTCCCTGGCCACCGTACTCTCCTGACCTGTCACGAATCGAACATGTGTAGGACGTGATTGGACACCGTTTGCAGACTCTGTTGCTTCGTTCAGAAGACGAACCGAGGCGAATGGTTGAAAGGGAATGGAGAGCCATCCCTCAGGACACCATCCGCACTCTTATTGACTCTATGCCTAGACATGGTTATTCATGCATCGCTGTCCGCGGTGGTCTTACATCCTACTGAGCCGACGCCGTTCTCGCTCTGTATTCTGACATTTTGAAACAAAGATCACTTATTGCTGCTTGCTGTTTCTTTTTTTTCCAAATTTCATCACTTTCTGACCACTCCTTTTTGGTGTTGCATTTTCAATGTCAACCAGTGTATGTAAACAACTGAGCAGCCACCACAGAAATGACAGCCAATGTACTGCAAAATTTTTTGAAAATTGAAATTTCATTTTTTAAGTTCAAAAATAAGCATGGATTACATTCAATCGAGGATTATCCAAATTCTGTTGCATTAAATAGCAATAGAGAACTAAAAAGTTCCAATTTAGCTTAAAAAAGATTCCGAATGCAAAGAAACCTATAAATGAAAGCTTTTATTGCTTGTAAAATTAATGTTCATAACAAAATGTGTAACAAACAGAAAAATTTGGCTTCAACATTATAACTACTCTTTAGATTCTGCAGACTCTCTCAAAGCTCAGTTTTATAGATTATGAGTTGATGGAATAGTTAGCCATAAGAACTGTCCAAAATCTTGAATGTGCAAGATAATTGTTTTCGATATACATTAAAAAAAACATTATTTTTAAAAAAATTTAGAATCATTCTAAAATGTCAAACTGCTATGGAATTCGGACAGAACATTTATTTGTATGGGGCACACCTGATTCTGTTGACTTTTAATTCCTCAAAACGTTTTACTACTCAGAATAAAACTAAAAAAAAAAAAAATATGCCTTAAAAAATGTCTTAAATTTGGCACACATAGTAATTAAATCTCTAGCATTTACTTTGCAAGTCATCATTGATACATTAAGTCAGATATAAGAATTAATACCATCTATAAAAATATTTCCTGAACACAAAAGTAACCGGATAATACTCTTTTCATTAACTTGACAGTTTTTAAAAACTCGTAATTAGGATATAAATATAGAAATGCTGACAATCAGTACTCCATTATTTTCAGTACTTATTTTCCATTTACTCCTCGTCTTTTCAAACATCTGCTAACAAATCTAGCAGAACTGGAACTAGGCATTCCCTTTATTTGAAATGTGGCAAGACATGATGCACTTCTGGTGCATGTGTGTAAACAAAGTTCTACACAAATAGTTTAAAAAGTATATCACTTATTTCTCTCAGAGAAAAGAAAAACAAATGAGAAACTAAGTCAAAACATATTTTAAATAATGAATTTTAGGAAACATGAACTAATATTTTTCTACACTCCCATTTTTAACAAGATTAAATAAAGTACTAAAATAAAAACAAAAGTACATTACAATTTTCTAAAATTTTAGCACAAATAATGCTAAAAAATGGGTAATAAATTCCATTAAAATTAACCTGCTAATTAAATCACTTTGCTGTTTAAAACACAGCTGTGTAAAAAATTAAAAGCATCACAACAAAATAAACATAAGTAATAAACAGAAAATTACTGGAGAAAATGCATAGTTATGTTGCACAGTTAAATTATTATTTATCCTGTGACTTACTTGCATTACATATTTGAGGAACATGAAGGCAATGGAAATTTCAAAAAATTATCTAATTCAACATTTACAAATATTAAAACATTCAGGATGAAGACGACAAGATGATAAATATAGACTACGCTATAATGCAATCATTGTAAACAGGCAGTGGAGATTAGACTCCTCCATTGCTTAGAGGAGTAGGGTTTGACAACAAAGGGATGTCAAAGAGACAGCAAAATCAGGAATATTAATAAATAAATTTAAAAGACTACAAAAATAGAGAATCATATTTACAAGAAAAATATGTAAAAGATCTACTTGCAAAGTTATAAAACTGCAAAATTGAAAGTTTTTAGTCACTCAGTGTGCAAATGAGGTAAAATTATTATTCAGTCAATATTTTACCATTTTCAGCAATATTTAAATTAGCTGAAAAACTATTCTACACATTAATTTTTTGCATTCATGATTAAATATTAAAAGTTAGGTTATCAGAATCTTTGCAGTTCATGACTTTGCAAGCAGTTAGCTAGCTTTAAGCTAGAGCTATTACAAAACAAATATTTAACATTCGATTATAATCCATGCATTAAATAAAATTTGCCCATGATAAAAAATAACAGTAATATGACATAGATTGAATAAAAATATTTCAGTCAAGTGTATAAAAAATTTTAATTTGCAAATTGAATTACAAAATGCTGGTTAAAAGCTAAAATGTAAATTAAAAAAGTATAATAAATTAATGCAAAAATTTCTCATAAAGTAAAATAAAAATAAAACAAATATTTTAAAATCAAGAACACTTTGCAATCTCTTTTTTCTTTTGTTTTGCCAGAACAGGTAACACTTATAGGAAAGGACTTTTTTAAAACTGATGTGCCATATCAATACTCACTAAAATTTGTCTCATAACATTCGTCTTTAACCTTAGCATATGTATCTACCTGTGGAATATAAGAACAGTCTGCCTGAGAATAGCCCATGTAAGGTCTAGAATACCCTCCATAATATTGATTATTTTGCGGCTGTTTGGCAGCATGATCTGAAAGTGGCATTTGGTAATTATGAACTGGGCTCATATTATGAGTCTGCGAATGTTCTTGAAATGTGTCATTTCCATTCTGGTGTTCTTGCCAGTGTTGCCAACTATTCTGAGGTGTAGATTCTGAAGTAAAATAAGGTGAAGTAACTGTTGATGATCCAGACCACGCTGAACTTGATGGACTGTAACCACTGTGTTCAACAGGCCTTCTACCTCTGCCACGCCTTCCAGAGCCTCGTCCACGAGGTCGGGAGCACACAGCTTCAGTATGCACAACAGGATTAGGATACCTACTCAAGTCTGCTTTCCTCTTCCTTCCACGTTTCCCACGCTGCACAGGAATCATCATTCTTAATTCAGAATCAGATGTTTGAAGGCTTCGGTGCACCGTAGCACTCACATCACTTCTACGATAGTCAGAAAAGCATTCATCATGAGTGTCTTCCTTGACTTCAACTTTCAATTTAACATCTGGAAAGGACACCTCTGAAAAGTCTAAATCAGGAAGTGCACCACAGAGATGATCACGTAATTTTTTAAGTGCTACATAAAATGGAACTTTATCTACAGCTCTAGGTAGTTGGGCACATCTTGCACTTGATGAAGGCATAACAAAAACAGACTGAAAAATGAAAATTAGTTCACTAAATGTTGATATTCATGTATTTAAAATATTAAAAAATATATAATTACAGCATGGGTAATGAAATATAACAATCAATAATTCACACATATAGCAACAAAGATTACACATTTAAACTAAGTTCAGTGGCGCAACAGCCCTAGTGGGCCACGGCCTGCACTACCCCGAAATCTGCTTTCTTGTCCGTTGCACCGGAGTGCACCACCATATGCTCTGAGCATGTGGTCAGCTTGTTGCAGAGCCCTCAGTGTTTAGTCCCCAAGCAAACTTGGTACTCATTTTATCGACCCATTCAAGGGATGAAAGGCTGAGTCAACCTTGCCCAAACTGGGGATCAAACTCTGAACCTGTGGTGCAGCTGTATGACGTGCTAGTCACTTGATTACACACTTAATAAATAATAAAATATTTTTATTCTTGTAAAACAATATACACTCTATCAACAATATCAAAGCATGAAATGACTGTTTATTTGCCTAAGTACACAACCAAATTGTTATTTTAATTAAAATTAAGTGACAAAATTAAATTTTATTACATAAATAAAAATTATACATAATTTTGTTGCTATTTGTATAAATGCTACATAATGCAACATAAAAATCCCTTGGATGAAGGGATAATTGACATAATGCCATCACATTCATACCGTTTTCCCTTGTGACTTACTAATGGCTCGCACAGAAAGTGAAGAACAGTCCTGTTTCCCACACTAATATATAATATATATATATATACACAGTACAAAGTCCGAAATCCGGACTCGTCAGGACTTCAGCGATTCTGGATTTTGAATATTTAAATATATTAGATCATTACTTTAAATCTAGTAAGATGGCATGTAGAAATTATAAAATTAAAAATGTGAAAACATGATTTATGAAATAATGAAGTATTTATGATCTAAAGGGTATCAAAATTTACAAAAAATTTTAATATTTATTTGTTTACTTTATTAAACATTTCTTTCAATGCAAGTTGTTTAAGTTGGTTTTTTTTTTTTTTTTTTTTTTTTTTTTTTGTGCTAATACTTTCTTTTTAATTCTGCAGACAGACATAATCTCTTGTTTAGTTACATTGTTGAAGTCCTGTAACTGCTGTTTCAAGAATTCCGACTAACTTGTCAATCGAAATCTTCTCATTTTCAGTAACTTCTCTGTTACTTTCTTCACTATCGGTAGTGGTATTTTCTTTACCTAGAACCATACTACAGATTTTGCCATTCATATTGATTCATGATTGCGAAGCAATGAAAAACTTGTTATATATCATCTTCATTTATTACCGCCTCTCAACATGTCTTTACAAAATCTGTTAATTGGAAAATGTAACCTTTGTTTTGCGATATCTGAAAACCTTTAAAATTAGTGGCTATCATCATCAAATTTAGATGTCCTTCACTATACATATTTGGCTATGCATCATGAGCTTGGTGACTAACAACAAGTTGTTCTGTTAAATTTTATCTGGCTTCTATCACACACCGAGACAATTAAGCCTGAATTGTATTAGTTTAGTTATTTATTATACTTATGTCTATTTCCTGCACATGGTTAAGGCTTATCAGAGTTCTGAATAAATGTGGTGGCTTAAGTATATGTGGGAATAATAAATTCCCACATATACTTATTGAGGACCAGCACTAGATATTTTACCACCCGATGCAGTCTCTGGGGTCCTAATTCTACGATTCCGTGCGGCCATATTAGCCCTGGCGTTGGTTCTGGGTTTACGTGAATAACAAATCAGTTATTCTTAATTCAAATAGCCCTAAATGTAATCTTTGGGTCTATGAGTATCATCAACAAAATCTATTGTTAGCATATGGAAAGTAATTTTTGGCTAACTCGTCAACATTTTTAGCACATTTAACTTATATCTTTAATCATCGCCAAGCGTAATGTCAACATAAAAGGTTACCATACTCGTTTATTATTCAATTACTAGCATAAAAAATTATTTAGGCATCGCTACATGAGTCATTACTCAAGTTGTCATGTTTTGATAAACATGTGGTGATGAAAGGAAAGTATAATAAATAATGATTCGCCAGGTTGGCGTCAGATCAACAACGTATCTATGTTTCGGTTTCAGATGTGTGCCAAGCAGATACGCAGCAATGGAGCCAAATTACTGATCGTACAAATATTTATGCTAAAATGATTGTTTCTTCACTAACAAGGTATTTTATTTAGTATGGAAGTGAAATTAAGAATCGGGACTCTCCAGATGTTTCATTATGCACGGAGGGGGGGGGAAATCAAATGCGCATATGTAAAGCCTACGAGAAAAACATTGTTAGTGATTTTGAGGTCCGGATTTTAGATCATTCCGGATAATGGACGTTCAGATTTCAGATTTTGTACCGCATATATATAGTACAAAAGAGGAAAGTAAAAATTTTTTGCTAATGCTTTAAAAGTAAATATGATAATGCAGTTCCAGAGTATACACGTAGCATCAAGTAAAAACAATAATACAATACTAAAGCAATTAAAAGTTTATGTGAAAAAAAACCTCCTGTAATAACTTCTAAACAATTTAATCTACAAAGCAAATTGGAAATAAGAAAAGACTAAAAAAAATTTTTTTTACAAACCTAAAAAACATCAATTTTGTTCGCAAACAATCAAAAACATTTTAAAGACAAAGAAATAATATACAAAGAATGGAATAAATTGTCAATTAGTCCAATTCGAGGTTTAAAAAAATATTTTAAATGATATATATCTGTTTGGGCATTTCTAAATTTAAAATAAATTTGCAAAAATTATGAAATCTCTTTCATACAGTCCCTATGCTAATATTTAGAAAACCTATTATATTTACTATGAAATTATAAAACAGTAAGCTTTCTCCTATGCAACAAAAATTGATAAGTATGTATTAATTTTAAAATTTGGATTTTTGACATTTTCAACTTGCCCTGAGGGGTATATTAATAAATACACTAGACACTGAATTTCCCCCATTAAACGTTATTCAAATACTTTATGACTTATCAGTACATAAAATTATTTAATTTGTAATTTTGTTACTATTGCTATGCTGGAAGAATTTTAACACATTTTCAGTTTTCAAACTGTTATTTAATATTCTCATGAAGTTTTAGTACTTTATGGTCTATAATGATACAAATACGCATTGAGATAGGGATATTTTCAATTTATAAAAATAATGTTATGAGTTGGCTACAGGTCAGTACTGAAACCTCCCATTTTCCAGAATAAAAATTCTGTGAATAAGATCTTTTTACAAAAAATTTTATTTATCACTACTTTTCATGACTATCTGAGAACAAATGTTCATCACTTAATCTATTAACCTTAGACACCTTTTTCTAGTGATATTTATTTCTAGTTATACATAAATGCAAGTCTTCTGTATTTCAATATCTTCACAGCCTCTGAACATGATCTCAAAGTTAAATATCTTGATTAATTTTTACTTCCTTGTATGAAGTAAAGGAAGTAATGTAACCGCATAAAAATTTCACATATCATATTTCAATGAAAATATCCAATTTTGACTACTCTCGAATCCATCTAAACAATGTTTCTGCACGACATTTGTATGTATGGCCAGAATAAAGATCTATTTTCCCAAAACAGATTAAAAAATGCATTTAAAATAGATTCAGAAGAGTTTCTTTTGTGATGTCTGTACATAAGTATGTATCTCGCATAACTCAAAAGAGAGTAACCTCAGAACATTGAAATTTTGTATATGGGACTGTTATAACATGTAGTTGTGCACCTCCCTTTTTGACTGCAATCAGCTGCACCAGAAGTGACACACACACTCTGTTACTTGGCTCGGTGAGCTCAGTTTTTTTAATTCTTACATGTTAGTAATGTTTTTATCGTATTATTTTTTATTGATCTATAATTAAGTCATTGCAACACGTTCACATAGCATATTGTTTATTCCACACTAACATTCACTGACTATTACTTCACTTCAGTTTGACCAGCAACTAGTGTGTTGCCACATATATGTAACATCTCCCCTCTTTTGAGAAACTCATAGGAATCAATGCATTACATAATTATCATATTTGGATGGTCGATATACATTACGACCACTTCTTGTTTTATATACACAATCAATTGGTAATCGTGTTCTTAAATTCCTACTTAACAGCATTTGACTTGGTGATAAATTTATACCTGAAATTGGAGTATTTCTATATTCCAGTAAAGCCTCATTTAATTTCTCTAATCCTGCTTTTCTAAATAAACTCTTGGCTATACCTACCAACCTTTCTGCAAATCCATTGGATTTAGGATATCGAGGACTGCTAGTGATTATTTCAAATCCCCAATCCCTTGCGAAACTTTTCATTTTCCAACTATTAAATGGTACGTTATCACAAATTAAAGTTTTGGGTATTCCATGTGTTGCAAATATCGATTTCAATTTACTAGTAACTTCCACTGCACTTTTATTTTTTAGAGGAATTATGTCTACCCATTTAGTTAAGTAACAGCCTATTACTAGATAACTAGATAACTTTTCCCTGCATACTCACAGATATCAGCACCAACCTTTTCATAAGGTAAACTGGGAATTTCATGAGAAACAAGAGGTTCTTTTACTGTTTGAGGCCTGAACCTATCACAAATTAGGCATTTAGAAATCATATTCTCAATGTCACTGTTGATTCCTGGCCAAAATAGTACTTGTCGAGCCCTAGCTTTTGATTTTTCAATCCCACAGTGAGCTTCATGCAATAATGTTAACATACACTTTCTTAATGCAACAGGTACTACAATTCGATTATTAAAAAAAAACTAAATCTTGTTCAACACTCAACTCATTTTTAAATTTAAAATAAGATCTTGCTTCTTTAGGAACTTTATCAACACTCAAAGGCCATCCATTTTGCCAATATTCTTTCACTAGCATTAACCCTTCATCTTCTAATGTAGCTTTCTGAAATTCCCTTTTCTTACTCTCAGACATTTGCAGTTGTTTTT